CTACTCATTTAAACCACAACATATTCCAAAGCATTCCAAAGCCTATTACTAAATGGTACAATAGTTATGTTATTGCCACCACAATTTGTCATACACTAGACAATTGTTTTTTTATTCAAAACAAATTATTTGTTTAATCAAATGTTTAGAAATATATTGAAGTAAATAAATAACTGGTTGGTTTTAAAGGTTTTTAACAAAGATTGCATGTAGTAGATGTAGTAGATGGAAGGTAGATGTTGTAGCTGTAGTAGTAATATTCTATTCCAATATAGACTTGGATATCTATATTATGGATATGATTACGAGTAACAACATGTTGATTGTGATCTACTATATCACTTTTCAAATATATATAAAATCATTTTCCACTTATAGACTACACTAATGATAGTGTAGTCTTGTTTGTCAATAGAAATTAGTATCTCATCAAGTTTGAAATTGGTATGCAAGAACTTTAATTAACATATTTTTTAAAAAACAACAACTATATACTTTAATATATAAATATTAGTAAAAAAAACTTTTTTAGACAAACTTATTAAATTAGGTATGTTTCTTGTGTATTCTACATGAATTCTAAATATTATTGTAATTAAATAGTATAATAGGATTTTTGTAGAAAAACCTCTCTACTTACTTCTCTCGACAATTCAATCTAACAAATGCTTTTTGCAATGAATTTAATTTATTTAAAATATTCCAACTATTATCCACTATTTGTTTATATGCTCATAAATTTGGAATAGTAGAAGAACATCAAGGGAGTAATGAGAAAAAGTCAAAACTATTCTTTAAATAATTGTTCCAACATGTTGAAAATTAATACATCATTCAATATGTTGAAGCTTCTTTATAGAAAAAAATAGATCTCTACAAGTAGTAAGTCATTAGTTCAAACCTATATAAAAACACTTCTAGATGTTACATGTTTTTATTTAATTTGGTCTATGAAATTACCATTAATTATTTTAAAACATTGTGTTTTTTTTTCATTACTTTCGTTTCGGGGCTATCTTTTATAGAAAATCTTTCATTATACTAAGGCTATGGACTACCAAATTGTATGAATATACTAAAATAATTTTAGAATTGTCTAAGCGCTTTATTTGGATAAATATTCATTTTATATTTTTATTTCTTCTAATATCTATTCTAAAGATTGATTTATGGAAGCTATATCATATCTCTAGAAAGTTCAACATAATTTCTTTTTTCATATATATTATATGTAAATTAAAATTAAAACGTCAATATAAACATCTAGATTGACACGTATAGGCTTGTTATTGGTTTAATTTCACTCATTCATCTTTGTCTCTTTAAATTATAATTTTAGATTTTATTTTAGAAGAATGTTAAATTGACCCAAATTTTTACTAAACTGATCTATGTATCTAGACTATCATTGCATCTCCCTATCCCGCATTTCTATTCTCTTTATTCCCATGTTCCCATCCCCAATTCCTATCCTCTTATTCCAACCCCCCAGACTTATGGAGCCATATGCGAAAAAAATCTTAAATGGATGCTTAAGATTTCCAGTAAAGAATTACTGCATAATCTTGATTCACTTTTACATGGATGTGAGAGCATCTATTGTTCTCATAGATTGTTACTCCAAAGTTGAGCAATCTATAAGTTGTGTACAACTCCTATTACCTGGATTTAGTATGTTGTTAATCTAAGCAATGTAATCATGGCTTAATAGTTGAGTCAATCAATCCAGTTAATTGATTTGAAATGACTTCTTAAGATCTGGCTCACTATAGCACTGCATTAGCTTCTCATACCACATTGGAAACTCCACACCTTAGCTATGAATTTGCAATGAGAGCTTCCAAGCTAAATTAATAGAACATGGAATTGTGTACAAGTTTCCATCTTTTTAAAGGCAATGACAATGATTGAAGCAAAGTAGAAACTCAAGAAATACAAAGAAGTGGAGTTTATTCCTTAGTAGTAAAAAGATATGGAGAGTTCTTTTCCTTTCTCTAGTTCATGTCTAGTTTTCCCACAAGACAATCAAATCTCCACATTACCACAACAGAATATTTTTATACCTTCGAAAGCTAAAACTTTACAATTTATATACTCATTTGCCAATATTCATTTTAAAACTATGGACTTTAAAATTAAAGTATAATAGCCAATATTTTTATGTGTATTACTAGCTTGCAATGTAAGGATTCCAAGTTCTCCCTATAACCACCCCATGAACATTATCTAGGTTGTAAGTTCATTAGTAAAATTAAGAAAATATAGAAGATATGGCTCTACTAGAATTTTGTACATTTGAGCTCGTAGAAGAGGATACGGCATTAGTACCACATATTTGCCTAATGAGTTCATTGGTCATTCTTTTGGCTTACACCACCTGATTCAAGGCAACTTTGGTGACCATAAATTGCTGCAAATGAGCTTTCTACAAAATAAGTTAGAAATAACTTTAGAAAACAAACCAAAATAATGCAAAAAAATCCACTGTGGACATAACATGCCTAAGCCCTCATGCAGCTTGAGGTGTAAAGATTACTTGCTTTTTTTAAAGCCATTGAAAGAAAATATATTAGATACATGAGCTTATTTGATTAAATAAAGTTGTTTACAAATACTACAATTGTCTAGTTTATTGAATTATTCAAAATTACATATATATATACATATCATACTATAAGTTGGAAAGAACTCTTGCTAGTGCCTTTGTTGCTACACTATCTTTCAATTAGTGAATCATCCACTGCAGCAGAAGCGTCTTCCACAACTCTATTGTTTTCAAGTCTATACTTGCATATCCAATGATAACAATGTCAAATATCTAGTTCTAAATTTCATTAAAATTGATTGCATATCTATATTTTTGTTATTTCATTTATAACTTTAGACAAAATAGAACCTTAAATGACATGCACAGATTACAATGATAATTCAAACATATAATTAAATATGTTAAATTTCAACTTGAGATATTTTGTATCAACTTGAATATCAATATCCACAATTTCTCGAGCAATAGCTGCAACAATTTGTGAGATATGTGCATCTAAAGCCTGGAGTAGTAAATGAAGATATTTCAGTGATATAAGTGCAATCTCTTATACCTTCTCAAGTATACTATCTCTATCCACCTCAAATTCAAACTTAGCAACTTCAAGTTGGGTATGTTCTAAGTTGCCTCTCTCACAACCATAAGCACTTTGAAGCAATAATCTTCAAGAACAATAGTTGCTCTCACATCCATGCAAAGGTGAGTCATAATCTGCAGCAACTATTTACTAGAAATCCCAGGCACTCCTTTAAAATTTTCCTTGTATAATACTTTGTAAGTCAAAGGGGTTAGAATGGAGACTAGGGTTTGGAACAGGGGATGGAAGATTGAGACGGGAGATGGATGCTAGATATAAGAACATGGGAAATGGAAGGAACATGAATGTGGGAGAAAGAGATGCAATGATAGTCTAGATATGTAGGTTGATTTAATAAAAATCTGAGTTGATTTAACATTCTCTTTATTTTATATTTTATTAATTAATTTAATAAGAATTTAATAAAATAATAATTAAATATTTATATACGTTTTTTAAAAAATAACATATATATATTTATTTAGAAATATTATCTTTATTATTAATTTTTTACGATTTATTCTTCATTGTTCAAAACATTTTATAGTATTTTTAATAAACAATTTAAATATCCTACATTTTATTTAGTTATTGTACGGCATGATTGTGATATTTATAATTAGTTGAATCATCTTGTTCATTCTCATATCAAATTGCTTAAATAGAATTTATTAAAATATTAAGCTATAAAGTATTAGAAAATATCAACATAAAATTTTAAGAACTTTCAATATATAAAGAATATTAATGTTATTTAATCTTCCTTAAAACCATATTTAAAATAGAAAAAAAATAAAAAGTTAGTTAAAGCTTTAAATTATAATTTTTTTTTTCTCTCTCTCTCTATATATAAATAAAACTCCTAACAATTTTTTTTTAAAAAAAATAATTATATTATCGTTTTATTTTATTATACTTATTGAAAAATAAGATAAAATAAAATAAAATTTCTAAAATAAAATTTTACATATTTCTATTGAAATTTTAAAAATTTAACATTAAGTTTCTCAAAAAATTAATTGTTTATTTTTATAAAATATAAGACATAAACAACTAAGGTTGTAAACTTTGGAATGTGTAAAAGTAAAGTATTTGAAAGATATACAAATAATATGACACACCTTTGGTTGAACTTGATTTAAAATAAGTTTGTTAGCTAGTTTAGTTCAAAATGAGTTTTCATAATTTTCTAATAATTTTTTAAAAATATTTAATCGCATGCCTAATAAACTCGTTCTGCACATATAAAAATCTGGAGTGGTAGCCCAACTTGCAAGCTAAGACAACAACGTTGAGGAGTGAGCATCTATCAAAAATTCAAGTAAATGCAAGTAAAATACAATTACTTTACTTTCATGGTTTATGTTTTGAAACTAAGCATTCGAAAGTTTCATTTACAATCGCACAAATGAACTTCTACGGCACTTCGCAGTGCATAATCTATCTACCTGCTAAAATTGTAATTCACGAGTTGGACAAGGTGAATTATTAGTGTTTCCATTTCTCAAAAATAAAGACAAACAAGTACGTGTAATATTAACGAATACTCTGTGAAGTTGGAATATTTGGATGTTTCTGTCATTAGTCATTTGAATGTCATACTATATTGTGCTGAAGATTATTCTTCTAAGATAAAATGTGATAAAGATGACATAATTATATAAATTAAATACTTATTATCTTAAACATATATCATGTTGATTAACTAAATTAGTTAATATATAAATTAATGAACCTTATTAATGCCCAACTGCTGTTCTTGCATTCAGCGAATACCACCGCCAACATATACCGACAACCCTTACCGAAAATCCACATTGATGTGCTCACAAACATACGAAACCTACACAATCGATTCGACACAACAAAATGCAATGGATTGACATGCTGCTCACTGGTTTCTGGAACTGCTTCAGAAAATGACAGGTTTGATGCTTGATGAAGTGATGTTGGCGCATAGGAAGTGATAGGAGAGGTATCTATGCGAATTGCACTTGAAAAAAACCTAGTTTGTGTTAAATGCAAGGACATCCAGATAACTGTGAGGCTCATTAGGAGAATTGTCCCTCTTCGACTGTTGCTCATTCGGCTCTACTCGCTGGAGGAAGAGCTGCAGGGTCTAGCATTTTCGCGGGAAGTCGGAAGAATCGGTCGACTGAACTGAGGACGTTGCAGCCTTGCTACAGGTTCAGCTGACTAACGTGAAAGTTCGAATCAGAGGATGCGGTCACATGCCGGAAAAAGTAATCGATGCCATTTTTTTCTGATGAACAGGAAAACGGCAACGGCTATGAGGTGGCGATGGCACATAAGGGGAATTGGTGACAACGCTGGTACCGTGAGTCGTGGGTGTAAAGACGAGCTGTAACGACACGAATTTCGTGGCATTCAATAAACATGGGGGAAATTCTGTTCATGCTGACAAACTTCATCACCCGCCCTGCCCATGCGACTTATCGAAGGTCAAAACCTGAAGTTCTAATCCTCGAATTCCCCTCGTCACTGTCCATGCTTCCTGTTTTAAACACTTGTGCATGTGAAAATCCACGATCAACGACTCTATTGTCGACAAATTGAGTGACATGCTTACTAACTAAATGAAAAGATTAATGGACACGATGCGAAAGACCTTTCTGTAAGATTAAAACAAATTGACAGAACGATATGGAAAAGAGGGAGTATCAAACATGCAAGAGAATATGATGTCGAGAGAGACGCAGAGGGAACTTGAGAAAAAAAAAATGCCAACTTACATGTGTTTCTTTTACTTCAGACAAACAAATAGAACGTCTCAAGGCCTTCTAAATTACATGGGTTTTGGCATACTTCGGAGGTCTGATGCTGGCGTTCCAGCCGTCAAGGAGATGCATGATGAGAGCTACAGTGAGGCCTACAATCAGGAATACAACGATGCCATCGAACAACAATCGGGCAACGAAGTAGATGATGCACAGGCAGAGGAGGCATTGGAAGAACTGCTTCCCACCAACGCCATCCGCGTAGGATTTGTAATGCGCTTCTGCCTGCCTCCCCTGGGCCGTACCGGTTGAGTAGAACTCCTGCACTCCTCTATCCATAATGACCACTCCCACTGCCCTCTACTGCGCGACCCAGTCGAGCTCCACTAGCCCTGGTAATGTAGGTATCCCAAAAATGACAAAATCAAGAATCGGTCACTGCTTCGCAACAATACAATCCCACGACACTTCAGATTCTCACAAACCCCTAACTGAACTCTGCAAACTTGACCAGAACTTCTGGTTTTCGGGGGCATTGTTTCGGTGAGAACATAAAGCAAAGAAAGGAGGAAAGGAGCAGGAATCCAAGACAACGTACACCTGCACGACCATCGCTGATAAACAGCGCCAACAATGTGACAGAACCAGAGCACAGTCAATGACAGGCTGTGATCGTCCACACAAGACCCTAATTTGGCTTTTAAGTGGAAAATTCGCATCAAAGCTTCGGTTTCTAGTACCTATAAATGAACGATTCAGCAAACATGGTGCCGCTGATGTAAAGTGAAGGTGCGTGAATAGCCTGATCACACGGTACACCCAGAGCAAATCCAGAACAAACTTGCATTCTATTTTAACCCTTTAGCAATTGCAGCACGCTGCATCACGGAAAAGTTGTGTCAATTTCTAAATATAGTCGAAAGTTTAGTACCGTTGGAGCCGAGAATGATCTTCCTAAACCAGTTTTAAAACAAACTTCATTACAGTCGCACCCCAATTACTGCCTCATCGCCGCCGCAATGAAAGTTGCACTCCAGTGACAAACTAAGCCCTCGCATCGTTCGTGATACAGTGGCCTCTCTTGTTCACTGATCTTAGCTCCGTCACAAGCACGTAAATCGCGTTTTCGTTGGCATGAAGCTAGAACAGTGAGCTGTTACGCTTTCTTCAAAGGCGAGCTCGAAGGAGACACAATTGGTATCCAGACAAAGGACACAATTCATGAATTCTTCGTGCACGATTGCAACAAACCTTAAACCCTTAAACCTCAACCTTGATGGATCCCTGGCTCATCTTCTTGTGTGCTGTTTTGTTTAACTCGGATATCATGTCCTCTTCCTCCTCTTCGCCATCTCACTCTTCCTGGGCAACTAATTTTGCAACTGCTATGTCACATGGCGAAAAAGTTCCTCGATGCCAACGGTTATTTTGTGCTCTAAGTGAAAATTTATTCAGGGTTCTACTTCTTGACACTGATTATCTTTCAACAGTCAACATTAATATTCTAGAAAAGCAACGTTAACAATGTAAAATATTCTAGAAAAGCAACGTTAACAATGGAAACTTATTATTTAACCTCTTTGTGCTATTAGTTTTAGAAATAGATTCTAAACTCCTATATCCTGCATCACATTGAGAGTTTTATTTTTAATCTTGACTACATTTCAGCTTTGAAAATTTTGGTTTTTTGTTGCTTCTTAATTGTAGGAAAAATGTATATATATATATATATATATATAATTAAAGGCCACAAAGTATTCATATCATGGATTTGAGAAAACTTTGTTGAGAATAACTTGTAATAAGACAAGGACAAGCCAGATCATCAAATAAGAGAATAAGAACCCAACTGATAGGGAATGTAATGCCTCATTTCTATATCTTTTCACTCATATAATATTAGTAGAAGACAATTTTGTAGTTTTTGGAATAAAACAAATATAATTTTTATTTAATCTTAGACATATTTATTTTTATTAAAGCTTTTATGGTTATTTCTTTTTAATACATAAGCCAAATTAAATTAGACTATTATATATTTAGTTATTTATTTAGTGATTTTTATTTCAATTGTGTTGGAAACTTACAATTTTATAGAGAATTTAGGATGGTCTATTTGATAATTTAGATTAGAATTAGAAGGATGCAAATTCAATTAATCCTTCTACTTGTCTTAGAATTGTATTTATCCAAATGAGTGTCTATGTGAATTCTTCTATAGGATCTAAATTATACATTGTATATGTTTTTAACTATGTCATAGTTTATAAGATCTTATAATATTGTGTATATTTAATTATTTATAATCGTTTTTCTAAAGTTATTAGAAATTGAATTTAGATGTATATAGGCTTGTCAAAGACATAAATCTAGTCAAAACTTTTAAAAGTTAATATTCTCTTGTATTATTAAAAGAAAGAAAGTAAACAAAGAAGTAATAATTGTAAAATAAAAAAGAAACTATATTGATTATTATCAATTGCAAAGAAACTAAGAATCTTCAACTAAGACTAGAACATAAGAAAAATATTTACAAGATTGAGAATGGTTATAGTCTAACTTCTATATATACTAGCTACCACAAAGATCTTACAAAAGTTCTAGGAAGTAAATCCATTTATTTTGATATAATCAATTTTAAGCATTAATAAGTCTTATTTAAGGAATTTTCTTATTAAATTAATTTATAGACTAAAAACATTTTATTTAAGATTTTTTATAAGAAAATAGAGATTAGTTAATCTTAATTACTTAGGATTTCTAAAATACATTTTATCCTTAAGAGTAAGAGCTTAGTACAATTATTGTAGATAATATTCAATATAATAATAGATTCATATTTTTTTTTTTGATTTTTATAAAAACATTTATAGTAAAAAGTAGTTTTATAATATTTTATAATATATATACCTTTTTCATATTAGAATGTGATTTTATATAATATTTTGGATATTTCTTAGATCTAAAAATTGTATATTTTATTTATGAAAAAATAAAATATAATTAATTATTTTTCAAATCTATTGGGAGGTGATGTAAAATCATTATTTGAAATGATATGTAAAATTTATCAATTTTTATAAAGAATCTAATTTTATTATCTTAATGATATGAAAAGATTTATAAATTTTAAAAATAAAATATGATATATTGTTGGAAGAAAGAAAATGTATTTGTTTTGAATTTTCTTTTAAATCTTTTTATGATAAGTTTTCTATGATAATAAGACCTTTTTGCATACAAATAAATTATTTTTATTCTTTTCTATTATATTATAGTCTTAATTTAAGATCCATCTTTGATTGGCTAAAAAATAGTAATATAATAAATTTTATAATTGATCTCCTTCATAAGATTTTTTAGATGTATAAATATTTTCCACCTTAAAATAAAAATAGAAATTAATCTGAAGGTGATTTCTAAAGTTCTATTGTATATCAATTATTAATTACAAGAGGTTAAATATTTGATTAAAAAATATTATAATATTATTTTTTCTTCAATATATGTATATATATATATATATATATACATACATGTGAGCTCTTTTGCATGAATACCATCAAAGTTTTATACTTTAAGAATTAATATATTATATATTGCTTAAATAAAGCTGATATAATTTTAAAATAGAAGGATTTTGATTAAGTTGTTTAATGTTTTTTATTTTAAGATATAAAATGCAATTCATATCAAAACAATGTAAGCATAAAGCTTAATGGGTTACTAAGGCTTTTACACTATTATCTATAAAAAAAAAACTGGGTTTTGTACTTACGAAAATATTTTCATTGATTATTGAAGATGATATCAAAGAAATGATTTGAAGGTGGCTAAAAACTTATATATGGCTAGTTAATAAATCCAAAAGGAATTTCAGTCCCTCATTCTTTTCTATATTAAGAGACTAGGACTAAGTAAAGTTTGTGATTTGAAACAAATATAGGGATTTTGTAGCCATTTGAAGTGTCTAGAATGAAGGTCTTGAAGAGAAGAAGTAGAAGAGCTTTATAAACTTTTAGTAGTATTTTTAAGATAATTTAGAATATTTTAGTTTGATTGAAAAAAAATTAGATCTAAAATTTAAAAATCATATATAATAAATAAGTTATTTTGATGCAAAGTTCAAATTGAAATAATTTGGAATAAAAATATTAAAAAAAAACAATGATCTTGTAATGTAGCTTCTCTTAAAATTTGGAGCTTAAACATTAGGCACTAGTTGACTATAATAGATTCTTTAATTGAGTGTTGTTTAAGACGAATTAAAATTTTAAGATATCATGTTTTGTAATAGCCTTAGTTAGAAGTTTAGATGGAATAGATATCATTATAGAAGCTATCATATTAATACAAGTTAATTTTTAAATTATATATATGCTTAAATTGGACAAAGATAAAATTTTCTTTGAGTTATTTAAGCCACTTAAATAATGCACATTTTATAAATTATATATAATTTTAAAAAATTAATATAATATTAATGAGTGAAGTTGATAGCATTTATAGAAGGTGTCACGGATATGTATATTTATCTAGATAAGAATTATTAATTAAAAGATAAATATAGATAAATTTAATGATATTTTATGGCAAAGCTTTGTAGAAGCTTTATAGACACGGATTTGACTTCAAACATATTTTTAGTTAATTGGTAAGTTAGAAACTTGGCCAACAAGTTAACCACAAGTTGCACATGTTAGTAGCTTGTGATACAAGCTAATTATATGGTGCACATATTAGAAACTTGTCTTGCAAGTTAGACACTTATTGAAAGTTGTATAGAATGTTACTACATAGCTCCTATTCTCATTTAAATTATTATAATTAAATTATTGTTATGATAAGACTAAAGATTAGTTAAATTTTATAATATTTTTTATTTTTTAAAATTTACATACTTATAAAAAATAACTTTGGATTAATATTCAATTTTTTTAAAATAAAGATTATTATAAAAATATTATATTTAAAATAATAAAAATTAAAAAATTAAAAATATTTCATTTTTATAATTATAAAAATATTTTAGATATTATTTTTTTAATTTTTTAAATAAAAAACCATGTTTATATATATATATATATATATATATATATATATATATTACTTCCAACATCATCAAGGATATGAACCTCAAAAAACTAAAAGATCAATACACACTTGTGTTATTCAAAAAATTTAGAAAATCACTCAAAGATGATATAGTATTAAATTAGAATGGCTATTGCCCTAGATAAGAAGACTAGTAAGTCTTGAAATAAGGATAAGGACTAGAAATGCATTGACAAGAGTGAATTAGGCTTTGGTCTTGCTTCTATATATCACTATCTAATTAAGATTTACATAACAATGTTTTATAGGTCCTCCATCACATGTTGACTTTGTTAGATATATGTCTTAACTTGCAAGGCAATTTTTCTATATGTGCATCTTATAGTTAACTTGTTCTACAAGCTACCAACATGTGTGGCATGTGATTAACTTGTTGACCAAATTTTTAATCTACTAATTAACTATAAATAATTGTAAAATCAAATTTATATCTATAAAGCTTTTAGAAAGCTTTTCTAAAAGATATTATGAAATTAATCTATATTTATCAACTTCTATCTAAGCATGTAGGTAAATATTATAATAAATATGTATGTTCAGGATATTATCTTTTTTTTTTAGAGATGAGTTCTTCAAGAAGCAATATCATAATATGTATTGTCTTATTTGAAAATGCATTGGATATTTGGT